ATGTTTATGAAAATTAATAAAATATAATTATAGAAAAAAAAATTTAAAAAAAAAGAAAAAAATTCCATCTCACACATACTTTGGGCATATGTTGTCAGAAGGGTTCAGGAAGAACATCATGCTTGAAAGGACAGGAGGTCAGCACACGAAAGTAAGAACCTAAATGAAATGGACTGACACAGTGACTGTGGCAATGGAGTCAGGTATGTCAGAGAAAGTGAGGTTGGCTCAGGACAGGGCAAAGTTTGGAGTCACTGTTCATCGGGTTGCTATTAGTTATAGTCAGGGGCACTTTCCCACCACCACCACCACCCATCACCTTGAGGAACCTTATCCACTCTTCCCAACTCTCAGTCCCATCTCATGACAGTCTGTCCTTGACTCTACAGATCATATGATCCTTCTCACTCTGCTAAACTGTCATCTTACCTTGAGTAACTCCCTGCAGTTGTCAAGCCCGATATCCAAAAGAATGCCTTTCACCTTTTTTCGTACCTTCCTGATGTTGTCGAGATTTGCCACTGGAATCTGAAACATTTTTTCCCCCTAGAAACAAAAAACCCCAAAGCAGTAATAAGTACAAACAAAATTATATGTTACTAACAGAGTTGAGAAAGCAGAGTACAATATTTAACAAATCATAGCGAAACAAAGAATGAGTCTGGACACTTAATACAAGCACTACCTCTAAATGGATCTACAACTGATTGGAATCGTTAAAATCACAATCTCTGAGAAGGAACAGACAAGAGAAAATCTTTTTACCTTGGCTTTTTTGTTTTCCAGTACATATGAATATAAGGTTTGCCCTACGTTATGTATGCAACAGCATTCTGGAAAAATCTGAAATACTTTAAGAATTTCTAAAATGTAATACAGAGACAGACACACAGCAAGCACAGGCTGTAGAGGAAAATGATGCTGACATACTTGGTCCACACAAGGTTATCATAAACCTTAATTTATAAAAAACACAAGAGCTTCAAAGCATATTAAGATTTTAATAATATGAGGTAAAGTCATCAAGAGAAACTGATTAATGAATACCACTGTTCTTTGCTGCAGTACTGACAACAGCCAATGGTCTCTCAACAAATGAGACAGAACCAGGTTCATACAGCCAGTCATCAAGAGAAATTAATTTCTGAAATATGCTACGTGAGTGAACTGTAAAAACATGATGCCAAATAAAATAAATTAAGGTGCCAAAGGGCAGAATATATGCTTCCATTTCTATGAACTCTCCCGAAGAGGCAAGTCTAATGACATAGAAATAGAGTACCAGTTAACTGGTCTAAGGAGGCTGAAAGGAAACCAGAAATGAGTGCGACTGTGTGCTGGGTTTCTTTCTGTAGGGAAGTGTTGTGAAATTCACTGCAGTAGCGGCTGCCCAACTCTCTGACTATATTAAAATTCCATAGCTGTATACTTTGAAAGGATGCATTACATGGTTATCTGAATTATATTACAATATAACTGATTTTTTAAAAATGGAATAGAGTGTAAGTGTGGTCTATGTCAGCCATGTGACTGAGACTGTTTCAATTAATGTGGCCAACTTGACAGGGACCACCCTCACTACATTCCTAGAAGAAGATGATTAAAGCATAAACAGGTAAGTACAGAGAGCAAAGACATATTTGAATATTTGGACAAAATTCCTACATTTTTATATAAGGAACAGGAAGAATTAAAAAGTTGACTCTAGTTTCTAGGGAGAATTATTACAAAGTGAGAAGGGGGAAGAGATTCAGGAGCAAATAGAGCAACCATCCTGTATGAAATGCAATCAGTGTAAGGTATTTAAGGACATCCAATAGGAGACTTGGGGAAGTATGCCCTCTTCTTCAAGAACCTTGTGTGTCCACTGCACTCATTTCTTTCATGACCATCTAGGTTAGCACCTATTACAGTTATATTCCACTATATCTTCCTCCCAAGGCCTGCAAACTATTATGAACTAGGTTCAAGAATTATTCAACTTGGTTTTCCTGACTCCAAGCACCTAGTCTGTATACATTCCATCAAATATTGAACTACAATAAAAAAGTGGTAGAATATAGTAAATGCACTGACATTATCAAGAAAAGAATAAGCCCTGAATATTAAGAAAAGGAAAAATCTGTAATGACAACAGTGCTAGAATCAATTCTAAGTGGACAAGAAAACCGTAAGGCTACAAATTTACCCTTCATGTCAATCAAGTCACTTAAAATAACAGCAAGCCCCTGGGTGGTGGAAACCATTTTACACTCAATTACAAACCAGGCTGGTAGTTTAAACTTGCCCTACAGCACAGAAGCCAGGACACGAAACCCCTATGGAACCTTGTACTCTGCACACAGCTTCACAATGAGTTGTGAATTGAACAAGAGAACAACAAAAACTGGTAAAACAAAAAAGTGAAACCACTAGTAGGTGCCCTTCCTAAATGGGAAGGTTCAGTAGAATCTAGAGTGCCCCCACCTTCCTTGCAGAGCAAGGGTCTCAAAAGAGTGACTACATCAGACCCGCAGCTGCAAACAGAACAACTCAGGAGAAACAGAAATAGTCGTCAGACTCCGTCTAGACTTACAATAGCCCAGGGCTAGGACCCAGCAATCTTGGTATCCCAGTGGGCCTGACGGACACTAAGCTTGAGAACCACTGCTTCTGAAGTTTATGTTCTTTTACAGAGAACACCCTCCATTTCCTGACCTTTCTCTCCCTCCTTCTATGCTACTGGCTATCAGCAATCAGAGGGCTTGTCAGCACACAATCAGCAGCAGTCCCTTTCTGATTCAGCTCCTTGGGTTGGCCCAAGAATTTGCATTTCCCAGCTCATGCTCAATTGCCTCTTCTCAAAAGACTTACTATCAAAAACAAAAAAGAAAAAAAAAAAGACTTACTATCATCATTATCATGTCTCTTCTTTACTGGAACACCTCCTCTGCACATGACCAGGACTCAGGTCAGCCATTCTCCCCTGGATTCTGCTTTGCCATACTCTGCATCCTAAAAACTGTCTCACATACTCTTCTGTCTAGCTTCTTCCTACACACTGTCAAGACGCCCCAATATCACCTTCCCTTGTTCTTGTGCTTCAGCTTCCACTCCAAAGACACTGCCCTTCTCACCCAATTATCATTTGTAAGCTTGTTCTCCAAGGAGCAACTCATCTGTCTGTCCACGGCCACAGGCTTGGGGGTAGGCATACAGTAAGTGCTCTGTAAATGCCAGCTAAGCAGACAACCACCGAAGGTCACTCTTACTAATCTGCACACCTCTCTGCTTTACATACCGCAAACTCACCAAGAACAACTAACTGATTATCTGTCCTGAGAACAATCAGTTCACTGAGAGGCAAACATTACACAAATAAGCACACAGATAAAATGAATGTGCATGCTAAAAGGAGGAAAGTTAAATATGCAATAGGAAAATATAATGGAGAGAGCCTAATTACTTGGGGTCAAGGGAAGCGGTATTTAAATTTCCCTGATGTGTTAGAATTCATTTATAAAAAATTATCATGGAAAACTCTTTCCTATTTAACTGTTGTTGTTTGCTGTTAAGTGCCATTGGAGCCACAACTTGTAGCAACCCTATGTACAAAAGCCCTAAATCCTGCTCTATTCTGTGCCTATCTCACTGTCTCCAACACACGTACTCCCACCACCCCAATCACAGAATTGATCCATCTCATCTAGGGTCTTCCTCCCCTGCGCCGCCCCTCCACTCTTCCAAACATGACGTCCCTCTCTCCAAGGACTGGTCCCTCCTTGCAGCATGCCCAAAGTATGCCAGGCGAAGCTTCAGAATCCTCCAAGAGGCAGGCTGGTTTCACCCTTTCCAGGACAAACCTATTTGTTCTCCTAGCAGTCCATGGTATATTCAACACTCTTCTCAAGCACCACGGCTCAAAGGCGTCAATTCTCTATCATCCCTAATCACTATCCAGCTCTCCAATGCAGAGCACACAACTGCGAAGACTACAACCCAGATCAGGCACACCTTCGTCTCCAGTCTGATGTCGCGGCTCTTCAGTACTCTGGAGAGATCCCTGACGGCTGATTTTCCCAATGCAATTTGTCTCTTGATTTCCTGGCTGCTGGTACCAAAAGTGCTGACTGTGAAGCCAAGCAAGCTGTTAACTATCTCAATCTCTTCACCATCCATCTTGATACTGCCAACTGGCCCAGTGGTGAGAATCTTTTTCTGGATGTTGAGCTTCAATCCACATAGGAGGCTGCAGTCCTTGACCTTCTGCAGCAAGCACTTCATTCAGGTCCTCAGTTTCAGCAAGCAGGGTTGCATCATCTGCATAATGCAGGTTGCTGATGAATCTTTCCACCAATCCTGATGTCACATTCCTCCTCATACAGCCCAGCATCCTGGATGATCTATTCTGCGTACAGACTGAAAAGGTATGGAGACAGAATACATCCCTAGCAGACCTCCTTCCTGATTCTGAACCATGCAGTGTCTTCTTGCTCTGTTCTGATGACTTCCTCTTGGTCCAACTATAGGTTTCACATAAGCACAATCAAATGTTCTGGGATTCCCATTGCTTCAGGTACAGAGAACCAGTCAGGGACCTCTGCTGCCTGGCGCTCCCAGATAAAATAGTTTTGGGCCTTGGGGAGGAGATGGATTTGGAGCATTCCTGACTTCAACATCTTACTTCTTATTTACATGAGAAATTGTAATTAAAAATTCTTATTTAGTAACAGCTAGAAATAGTAAAAATGTGTAAAAGTGCTATAATGAATCTTGAAAACGTATTATACAAAATGAAGCTGCCCCTGTGAACAGGTACTTTATGATCTTGCTTCTATGAAACATACTGATTTAGAGAAACAAAGATTATCAGGGATTAAGAAATTCTGGTGTCCTAGTGGCAAGAAGCTGCACTGCAATCCTGAAGGCAGGCAGTTTGAATCACCTTAATGGCAATCTCCTCCCAAACTATTAACTGCCTCTGAAAATCAGCAGGAAGGTCAGGTATTGGTCAGTTCCAACTCAATGGTATATATCAACATCACGAGGAATTACGGAGTGGGTTGATAGTGGAAGGAGGAGCTTTTACTGGGGGTATTTTGTTATTAACGATGGTAAAATAATTTGCAAATAGTCCCACAACTTGAGGAATATAATCACTGTATATGCAGAAATTGCTGAACTGGTTGGTGTCTTTGTTGTTGTATTTATTTTTATCACAATAAAAAATACTTTAAATGCACAAAAAGTGTATTAAAAAACTTAAATGCCATATTCATGCCAATTCTTTTTTGAGTGAAGAACTAGGAAAATAACCTCTAAAGTTAATAGGAAAATGTAAATATAGATGAATACTTTGGAAGATTCTGGGCGGGAGGGACTGAAGGTACAATCACCTTTGTAGACAGATGCAGACAACAATGGTATCGTCAGGTACCAAGTCTGCTTCACAATGATCCCAAGCGCAACAGAAGGAAGGAAACACTACCCCATCCTGTGCCATCCTCACAACTTCTGCTGTACTTAAGCCTGTTGTAGCAGTCACTGTGAAAAATCAT